GAGGCAGTGAGAGAGGGAACACAAGCAGGCAGAGTAGGAGAGGGAGAAGCAGGCTCCCCGCAGAGCAGGGAGCCCGATGCGGGACTCGATCCCAGGACCCCGGGATCATGACCTGAGCCGAAGGCAGACGCTTAACGACTGAGCCACCCAGGTGCCCAGCGTTGAGGGGTCTTGAGTCTGTCTGACAGTTTAAACTTGGTCCTAGGGCCATGGGGAGTTACTGAAAGTGCCTGAACTCCGAGGGGAATCAGAATCACACTTTTGCCTAGTTACTTGTTATTTTCATTGTCTCAAATATAAAAATATAATTCATATGGAGGAACATGCATACCCAAGTCCAACTGAAAGGTTGGAAAGAAAAAGCTTAAGCGTCCTCTCACTTCCGGGCTCTTGGGAGCAGCCTTTCTTCCTTTCACCATGTTTGTTGTCGTTTTAGTTTTTTAGTCATGCTGCTTTCATAACTGTAAATGATCTCATACTCTATTACTAATTAATAATATTAATAATAGTCTCATACTCTATTACTTGACTTATTCACAGGAATAGCCTCTATTGACTCCCCGCTCTGGTGATTGCATTAACCACCTGTCCTCCTTTCTCTTCCCAGTTTTTCTCTTTCATATTTGTATTGCTATTGTTTCTATTGATCACTATCTCCACTTGGAATAATAGTCTTAAAATGTCCGTTTCTTCCTTAGATTGCCTCTCACCTCTGTGTGAAATGAACGGTTTCCCCTCCCTGCTGCTGCCCTTCCCCCAGCCACGCACCTTTTGGCTTTGTCAAGGTTTGCGGCACGCACATCCTGTCCTGTGAAGATAATTCAGTTTGCCATACTTCGCTGTAGATTGATTCTTAACATTAAAACCAGATGACATTGATGACATTACGGCTATGTAAATATTTTCACTGCGGAACGAGGAATCTGACAGACATCACTGAGAGGGAAATGGAATTCTCTGGCAGTAAAGCTGCACCATGTGAGGCCAGGAGCAGCTCTGGGGCCGGTGTAATAGTCCACTGCCCTCAGAGCCAAGGCACTCGATCTGTAGATCAACATGGCTGCATCTCAGAGACATAATGTTGAATTTAAAAATCAAGATAATGTCGGGGCGCCTGGGTGGTGCGGTCTGTGAAGCCTCTTTCTGACTCTTGCTTTCTGCTCAGGTCCTGATCTCAGGGTGGGGAGATGGAACCTGGCATCCAACCCCGCCTTGGTCTCTGCACTCAACGGCGAGTCTGCTGGAGATTCTCTCTCTCCCTCTGCCTCTGCCCTTGCTTGCACGTGCTCGCTCTCTCTCTCTCTCAAATAAATAAATAAATCTTTGAAAATCAAGGTAATGTTAACAGTAAGGGAAACGGAGTGCCAGGTATATGGGAACTCTCTGTACTAATCTTCCATTTTTTTCTGTAAATCTAAAACTCATAAAAAATGAGGTTTGCTACAAAAAAAAAAGAGAGAGAGAAGGTGTTGTGTGATCCATATCGAAAGCTGTCAGTCTCGATCTGGTGTCAGGGTCACAAATGAGGTACAAGTTGAGACTGGATGCTACTAAACATCCAATACTGCTCTAAAGAAATGATTTTTTTTTAAAGATTTTATTTATTTATTTGAGAGAGAGAGTGAGAGAGAGAGAGAGCACAAGAGGGGGGAGCGGGAGAGGGAGAAGCAGACTCCCTGCTGAGCAGGGAGCCCGATGCGGGACTCGATCCCGGGACTCTAGGATCATGACCTGAGCCG